GCCTCAACTCTCGCGGCCCGGTACCAAACGACTCACGGACCGGTACTGGTCCGAGGCCCGGGGGTTGGGGACCGCTGCTCTAGACTGAGTGCTTCCTAATTACATTCATAAAGTAAATTGTCACTAAGTTTTGGATAAAATGTACACAAACCTGTCAAATCTGCATTTGAAACGTTGGCAACTATAGCAGTATGGTATTACAACATGGCATTTGGGTCTTCTAACTAAAATAGGAAAATAGGAACATAAATAGTGCCATCATTGCCAGACATGGCCCACATCTGGTTGATATACACCCCGCCATGACACCAGTCAGTCAGAAGTGCCAGCTTTATGCCAGATTCAGGGAAGACCTGTTTCCTATGGGCCTGGGTCACATAACCCAAACCACAATCGAGCTAGATATGGCATGCCATCACATAGACAGTGCCATCTATGCCAGGCCTGTCCCCTATCTGGATGACATAAGTCTTGCCAGAAGTCAACCAGCAGTGCCAGCTTGATACCAGATCCAGGCCAGACCTGCTTGCTATGTGGGTCTGGGCAAGTCAGGTCCCTCTAGACATCAGCCAACTTTTCAGAAAATATGACTCCTCAGCCATAAAAACTATTGATTCAGTTCATTTTTCTGTTCAACCAGTTGTTGGTCCATTTATGCTATTAAACTGTTCATAAAAATAAACTCCATATGTGAATGTTAATGACATTAACAACAAGCCTAACAGAAGCTAGAAAGGGGAAAAGAAGAAAGGTGATCGGAGAATGCAGGAGAATATACAGCTCGATAAAAGTCACAATTCATACAAGAAAAAAGTCAAATTGAAAGCAAATATATGGAAGATATACACAGAAAGATAAATAGACAAACTGACAAAAGATAGAAAAAAGGGCTAAATAAAACAGTTTAAGATAATAAGTAAAACCAACACATAAGAGGAAGACTGAATGTGGTTCTCTCAAACAGGGTAATGCAAAACTTATTTAAATTAATTAATTAAAATTTAAATGATCATTCAGGGTACTGTTAGATCTTTTTTTATAGCTTGTGTGCCTTTTGTTTTGGAGAACCTAGGAATAGAGCACTAACGGGAATCCAGATTAAAATAACAAGATAAAGCAGCACTTCAGTTCTTATAAAATAAGTATGTTTCAAAGTCACAAAGAGAACTCTTTGATTTAAGCAGATGAATCATGAATGAGCTTAACTATGCTGAACCATAAATAACAAAAAAAGTATTAAAGTTAAAAAGAAATACTCAGGCTCATGAGAAAAAAAAATTAGTCATTGTCAGGCAGAGACAACAGAAAAGCTTCGTGACTGAAGCCAACATTTGTACTCACTGTTAACAAACTCTTCAGTTACAAACAAGTGTTCTGAAATAAGATAAATATGCTGCCAATTATCAGCCAGCCTTTTAGTTCATTTTCATGTATACAGCCAAACCAAGCAAACTCGCTGCAAAAGACTGGAATACTAGTCAAATTTCAGAGACGTATTAAAATAATGAAATGCAGGACAGACTGGAACGCAGTTACCTGTAATAAAGTTCTCCTGAAGCCGTAGCTCCACAGTGCGTCGATCGATGGCAGCAGGAACAAACAACAAGCCCGTCTTGGAGCAGAGGATAGCGAGAGATGGGGAAAGGCTCTGGCACATGCAGCGTTTCGGACACGGCTGTCCCCTGCATGCTGCTGCCAGCAACAGCAAAGAGAACCACAGCCGTTCCATTATCCTCCACTGGCAACAGGGTAACTGGAAGACAGAAAGGAAAGAGCAATAATTTAAAGTAGATATGATGAAGAAGCAGATATACATAAAAAGGACAATGTCAGAAAGTGGCAAACTGAGGTGAATCAAAGGTGAAGTCTGTCTTTGTTAGCTTGAAAAATCAGCCAGCCAACTGCAGGACTTTAATGCCAACAGTGGAAGAGTAAATCTAAACACTATGATTTGATTCACAGTTGGCAGTAGTCACCTTGTTGCATTTTAATACAAGTACATGTAATCGTAGTCATAGTTTACCAGACTGTGTGGCAGCCAACAGCTCGTAGGTAAGGCAATCTCCAAGCAAAATTATATTGTCCAAAAAGGTTCTCTTCTTTACAGTTTGGGTTATATGAAAAAAAAAAAATGTGGTTCTCAAAGTGTCAGCAAAGTCATCAAGGATGCACTTCTACATGTCACAGTTTACCAAAAAAAAAAAAAAGAGTTACACTCTCACACTCTCACAGCAAAAATAACTCATGATTTTATATCTGTGTATCAGTAGGCAGCGCTATGTTAGTCGTACCAGTTTGACTAACAGGTATATCTGTGCCATGGAAATTCTGTTCAGCAGGGGTTCTTGTCTGCTACTTCTCTAACCGGCTTCTCCCTCGAAGCTTCAAAAACTCTAAAAAGAACATTAACAAGGCGTGACCGTCTACTACAGCATCTGAATATTTTAAATATCCAGTGTTTGCATTTATGTTAGAGTCCAAAGAGTCAATCTTATGCATTAAAAATAGAAAGCATAATACGATCATATCCTTTTTTAATGTACACAGAACAAAAATAGTAACTGCTTACTCATAGATATCTACTTTTCTGCCACCCTTTTTTATTTGACTCTTTCTGTGGCATGCAATGCATTTCCTTCCATTAACTGATAATTAGTTCATGCCCATGTCCTGCTCTACTGTTTAAATGCCATTTTAGACCATTGTTAGGTGGTTGCCAGGTGATATGATGGTCTCATTAAAATAAAAATGGTATGATGCTTTTATCAGGCTGCATAATTCAATTCAATTTTGTTTATATAGCGCCAAATCACAACAAAAGTCACCTCAAGGCGCTTCATAGATACAGAGAAAAACCCAACAATCGTATGACCCCCTATGAGCAAGCACTTTGGCGACAGTGGGAAAGAAAAATCCCTTTTAACATTCAGGGTAATGAGATCGTAATATGTGATATAGATTAGAACATAATACATTTTTATAAGGTATATCAATTTTATGTAATCCAATTAAATAACACAATGCTTTTATAAGGTGTTATAGGTCCACAAATGCTAAAGGTGAGTCATTTTAACCCACTGATAGGTGGTTGCTAGACAACAGGATGATGTTGTTATATCTGATATACATAAGAACATTCAGAGGCCTAAGATGTACCTGTTTGCTAAGTATGGTTTCTCAACTCCTCATCATAGCAGCTGACAGAGCGTTTGTTTATCACAGTAAGATTCTACTGTACCTCCCTCACATTTCCTTCATGCAACACATTATTCACATTTCCCTGTCATCGAGCCTTATATTTAATTTTCTCTTCACAATTAACTCCATTACTTAAACTACAAACCAAGATGAATGCATCACATGAAGCTCTTCAGTAATGTGCAAAATGTGATGTTACAAGTCTTACTCTGTCACTCTACGGCCCACTATGCTCTAGCTGCTTGTCATTCAATATATTAATTATATTCTGTTTAACAAAGGGTTAGAACCCAAATCAAAACACAGCAATCATCATACTTCAAAAACAAGTTTACAAAAATTAAGAAAAAAGGAAAAAAACAATTCTCTGTCAGTTCATGTTTGAGAATATGAAACATAAGAACAGTGATTTAAATTTGGCTGAAGCTACACAAAGTTTGCCTTTAACAATTGTAATGTGTTAGTCTGAATCATGTATTCATATTCTGACTATGAGTTACAGCAAAAGGAAATTTTCATTCCCTTGCTGGGACTTCAGTTTCCTTAGACTTATTGCCTTAATTTATCTCATGTGTACTCTGTGGTGGACAGAATCTAAACTCTGACATTGTTATTATTATTATTTTTATTTCAAGATGTTTGAAGTATTTTTTTTTTAAAATGTATCTTTTTTTCCTTATCCAGATTGATTGTATGTCTCCTTCCTTCAAATGATATGATATCAGCTGAGTTTTGATGATTGTCACAACCCGGCTCATAGGAAGTGACAATCAAGAGGGAGACCACACACAGGCTTTTAAAGGCTGTAAGACATATTTAATGAAATTAGGTAAAGCAACTTAAAGACCATTTAAAGGACATAACAGCCACAACTGAAACTTCCATGATGGATGCCAGACAGAGAGAGCCAGAGCCCAAAGCCAGCGCCCTGCTGGTTCAGTCAAGGTGTCTTTATATACACTGGGACTGGCCTCTCAGGTGTGCTGCATCAATAATTGGGTCAGCTCCACCTACCTGCAAGAAACAGGTAA